CAAGCGGCGCACTGTAGCAGTGCGCCACCGGGCCGGCCCAACTTCATCCTTTAAAAGGTGCAACTTAAGTCCACTTTCCTTGAGTGTGGGCTAGAGGTGGTGACTTGCTTCTAGTGAACACGGTGGAGTGACAGTATGCCACTTCCAATGCTAGGTCACAAAAGGCATTGCAGTTTTCTCCTTGTTCTTTCTTGGATCACTCTATTGGGACGCTCAAGCAGCCCCATGGAGAGGCCCACATGGTGAGGAACTGAGGCTCCCTGCCCACAGCCTGTGAGTGAGTGATCTTAGGAGCAGATCCTCCAGCCCCATTCAAGCCTTCAGAAGACTGCTGTGCTGGCTAACATCCTACCTGCAACCTAATGAGAAACCCTGAGTCCAAACCTCCATAGAAGCCAATTTTCTGACTTCTAATTCTCAGTACCTTTGTGAAATAGCAAATGTTTCTTGTTTTAAGCTGCCAAGTTTGGGGATAGTTTGTTACACAGCAGTTGGTAACTAATACACCTTGTTGTCACCATTGGCAATTTCTACTCCTGTTGTTTTCTCATTCTCCATCATCTTCAGTAGGTATCCCTCCTTCTCAGCAAATATTTCAATTCTTCATGGACTTTGCACGCCTAGAATGTGCTACAGCCTGCAGAGGGGCAATGTTCCCTGCAGTGACTTGCCACCACCTTTGTGAGAATGGCAGTATCCCTGGAAGTAGATGTGGCTCCTGCTCTTGATATAGAGATAATGACCTAACAGCACAAGTGTACTCACCTGTATGAGTATGCCAGCACAAGCAATTTACTGTAGTAAGACAGTAAGTTCTCATTAGGGAGATACATTTAACAATAATGAAAATAAACAATGTTTATTTGGTGCTCACAGTGTCCCTGGAATTATGTTTAGCGGTTTGCCTGAATTTTTTTTTTTTTTTAATACTCCTAACTGTCCTATGTGGTAAATACTATTATTATCTCTATCTTACAGAAGTGGAAATCTGGCATAGAAAGTTTAACTATATTGCTACATTGTTTTATATTGGACCAGAAATTAGTATTAGAGGCAGAACCAAATCCAGGAAACTTGATCAAAAGCTATTGACCCCAAGACATAACACAGCAGTCAGAGTGATCCTTTTACCACCTGAGTCAGATCATGTCACTCCTCTGGTCTCCATACCTCTGAGATTAGAAGGCAAGTCCTCACCATGCCTCCAGGACCCTACACAATCAGGCTTCTGTTCACTCTTGGCCTTATCCTGTCACTGCCCCATGTATTACATTCCAGACC